AAATCATTTTCTGACACAGCAAAAAGATAGAAGGCTTGTAGCAGAGGAGGACTGTCACAAGTACAAGCTAGAACTGAAGGAGCTTAAAGACTGATTGAAGAAGGAGTGTCGGCTCACAAAAGAAATGCTAGGAAGATCCAAAGCAAACATTGAAAAACTGTATCAGTCCTCCAAATCGCTTGAAGAAGAGATAGAGCAGTTAAAAAAAGAACTGAAGGAAAAGACTGCCTACAATGCCAAGCTGTCCTCCATCCAGCAATCTAAAGAGGAGGAAATCCCACCCAGAGAAGAACCAGCAGTCACAAAGGACATGGAGGATTCTAAAAAAGAACAGAGTGGAGATTTAAAAGAAGAGAAAGTTATGAGTTGGATTGAAATGAAACCAATCCGTCAAAATTCAGAGGAACTTGATGAGCAGAAACCAGAAGAACCACAGAAAGAAGCGAAGCAACCCCTGACACCAGAAACAGTCACTGAAATGTAAGACGCGCTATCACCGAGAGCAGAGGCAGAACCTGAAAGGATTTCCGAGCATCTGGACTCCAGAAAGCTGGAAACAGACACAGAATACTCAACAATGAGTACTTGGTCCTCAATGACCATTGAATTACCAGATTCATCAGATTCAGAGGAGCGAAGAGTTGAGCCGGTTTCATTGAGGAGACGCTTCAAGAAATTCATGACGCCAAAACACCTGAGTCAATACAAAGACCGACATGTTAGGAGATAAAAAAGCAGCCAGTGTTAGCCTCCAAAAGTTTAATTTTTCTATATCTCTCTCTATCCCTCCATCTAAAACCAAAGCCAACATATGAAGAACTGGAAATGATTTAAGACTTGATTGAAAAGACTACCAGATACATCTGGACTAAAAGAGGTCACTCAGCAACCAAAAGCTCTGTCCAAACCGCATAAGCGTAAAAACAGAAAGAAACAGTCAATGCTTGAAGAGATAGAGCAGTTAAAAAAAGAACTGAAGGAAAAGACTGCCTACAATGCCAAGCTGTCCTCCATCCAGCAATCTAAAGAGGAGGAAATCCCAACCAGAGAAGAACCAGCAGTCACAAAGGACACGGAGAATGCTAAACTATCACCGAGAGCAGAAACAGAACCTGAAAGGATTTCCGAGCATTTGGACTCCAGAAAGCTGGAAACGGACACAAAATACTCGACAATGAGTACTTGGTCCTCAATGACCATTGAATTATCAGATTCAGAGGAGCGAAGAGTTGAGCTGGTTTCCTTGTGGAAACGTTTCAAGAAATTCATGACGCCAAAACACCTGAGTCAATACAAAGACCGACATGTTAGGAGATTAAAAAGCAGCCAGTGTTAGCCTCCAAAAGCATCATTTTTCTACCTGTCTATCTCTCTCTATCCCTCAATCTGTCCCCGTTTATCCCTCTATCTTAACCAGAACTGACATCAGGAGAACTGGAAATGATCAAAGAAGATTTGATTGAACAGACTAAGGAGTCCCAACCAGACAATTCTGAAAAACAACCAAAAAACAGAAGAACCACAGAAAGAAGCAGAGAAACCCCTGACACCAGGAACAGTCACCCAACACACGCCATCACCAACAAAGGGCTGCCAAGCATCAAGCTTTGAGTGTGAAAGTCATGCAATTCGACCCATTCTCACACCACATGACATTTCTCATGCTTACTTTTCTTTTCAATACTCGTACAAAGCTTGCCGTAGTTCAAGTAACTCTGATTGACTGACCATTCCCAAATCCATCAGTCCTTAATGCTCAAATCTAACCAACCACAAAAGACTTCACGCAACACCAATCAGAAGCAAAGTAAGGTGGGTTTTGGAGTCTCTAATTATCTTTCACACACAACGGCCCCGACATTTAAAACCCAGCTGACTTCCCTCAGCTTGCTAGAAGACGGACAATGGGTAACTGAGTTTCCAAGTTAATATGGACTACTATCAGGCTGCTATAAGTCTACCATTGTCCTGTTTTTGTTGCAAAGCTGTGTTACATTTTATTTATCTTTTCTTGCCCAGTTCACACTTGAGACTCTAACGTTAGTCTCAATGTCTGTTTTTGTGTCAGTAACAGACTTTTTAATATCAATTTAGACCATCTAAAGCAGTGTTTTTCAAAATTCAAATTTCAAGGTCTATTCTTAAACCAGTGTACAAATGGGCTGTCAAGTTTGGCAATTCTCTTGCAATTTCAAGTTTCTCTAAAACCTGTAATGTTGACAAAACGTTCTGCACTGACAAAGGCACTTGCGGTCAGGCCAGAAAGGCAGATGAAGAAGCTAACTATCGCAGAAAAAGTCAAACCTCTGGACATGCTAAAGGAAGGTAGAAGCTATGCGGCTTTAGGTCGCCGTTACGGAATTAATGAATCTTCCGTTCGTTCGATAAAGAGGGAGGAAAATAACAGGACGGCTGCAATTAGTTTTAATAAGAATGAGCCGGCGCTTATCTCTGCAATTTTAGGCCTTCAGTTTGTATTGATGATTGAAATTATTATTTTACAGTACAGTAGTTATTTATATAAAAATAAAACATTTATACAGTACTTTTAATTGTTAAACAAATGCTTGGGCCAGTAAAAAGGTTTTGTTCTTTGGTTTAAATGTATTATGGAGCATTTCATTGTTTAATAATTGTAAAAAAAAATAAAGGTCAGTACTTCACGGATTTCGCCTATCACGGGCTCTTTTTGGAACGCATTAGTCGCTGAAAACACTCAGCATTAGATAAGTACATATACTAGATTTAATGCTTACTTATTTCCTAAACATCATGAGTAAACACTTACAAAATCATCACAAGAGTTACGTACGTTGTTTTTGGTGCCTGATCCATCATGGCAGTGAAGGTGGCGATCCTTAACCCACAATGTTTTCAGTGGAAGCCACCTGCTTCTGTCATCAAAATGTGCAACAAACACAACATTAGATATGTCCCCAGCTAAACAATGTTATTTTAATTTGAAATAAAATATTTTCAAATGTATTTAGTCAAAATTCTTGTTTCATTTGTAATTTCTGTGGGCCACAAAAGCAGCTGGGATGGAGGTGAAAACATCAGTCTTAGGGTATGAATCAATGTACGAACGTAACATGACACGGAAGTCTCACTCATTTTCTGAAACTTGGTAGCCCCGCCAACAGCAGAACCTTTTCATCTAACAGAACCAGTAAAGATTTCAGAGTCTCTGGACCCCCGATTGCCGAAACAGGACACTCATTTTAATCCGTGACCACATAGTCCAATTCACTCAGTTCAATTTCAAAAGAACAAAACACTTCAGAACTAGAGCAGAGAAGAGTTAAGCCGGTTTCAACATGGACACGCTTTAAGAAATTCATAATGCAAAAAACGCTGTTGTCAATATAAGGACCAACGTTAGGAGCTAAAAGGCAGACAATTTTAGCTTCTAAAAGCATAATCTCTATCTGTCTATCCCTCTCTCTCTCCCGGTCTATTCCTCCATCTGTATTATTGTTAAAATGATAAATGAAGCATAGTTAAAATCTAAATACTTTGACTTCTACACTTAAAGTGCTTTCTTCTTCCTCACTAAGATCATCATTTTATTCACATATTCTGTTTTCCCTTTCAAATGCTGAGGATGTTGATTTCTGTGTAAATTGACTCAAAAATGAAAAATAATTTAATAAAAAAATCCACCACAAAAACGTGTGGACGTCTTCCA